GTTTCAGTCTATGATCATTTGGTCTTATTGCTTGGGGCATGTTGCAGCACATCATGGCAGAAGCATATGGCAGAGCAAAACTTCTTTATATAAGCCAGGAAGTGAAGAAGAGAAAGAGGCTAGGGTTCTACAATCCCCTTTGCTAGGCCCTACACAGGCAATGAATGGCACCATCAAGACACACCATTCTGAGTGCCTACCCATAATTCCTGAATAAGACCCCAAATCCTGGGTCATTCCTGCTAGATCAAAGAGGCCAGTGACCTCAAGCTCTCCAACTAGGCCCCACCTCTCAAAGTTTCTGCCATCTCCCAATAGCGATAAGCTTGGGTTCAAACATTTAACACAGGGACCTTTACCCACACCATAGCAGCGTGTGCCATTCATTATCCCTCACTGTTACTAACTGGTTTGGATAGTCTGAGATCCATGTTTTTGGCATGGTACCGTCTGTAAGAGAAGTGTGCCACACTATGCGAGAGCCTGAGGTTCTCAAGAGCCTTGGTTATCCTCCTTCACGCTGGATTCAGGCATAATAGGCTATTAGGGGACACTAGCAGTGAAACTTCCCTTTCATTGCTAGCAAGGGATAGGAGTCTTGCATGCACTTAAGTTTTTTTTAAAGTTTGAAAATTCTAAGGGATTAATTATATTTACCGATGAAGCCAGGAAAGGTAAATTACAGTTGAGAAGCTTAATGTTAGGATGGATGAACAGAAATAAATATTTATATCTTGCAATTAGTTATGAAAATCAATATGACTCAAATGTTTATAGTAGCTGCCAGATAATTTAAATGGATGAACATATGATTACTGAGGATTGTGGCAAAATGGGGTGCACTGGCCCTGACTTAAGACTATTAATAAACACCACTACCACCAACAACAAGAAACAAAACACACCATGTGGGCCAATTAATACCTGTTGGGAGCTAAGTTTACCCTGGCCACTGCCAATTAATGGCAGCATCTTGTCTGAAATATAGCAATATAGAACAAGAATGTTAGATTTTGCCTTATTATCATTCAAAGAGACAATACAAGAAGGGGAAAATTAATATAAACAGTAAATGTTCTTAGCCCTTATATTTAAAGGAAAAAACAGGAAACTAGTTTTCCTAATTCCTAATATTGGAAGGATGATTAATCAAACTATGATATAACTACATAGCCATTCAAAACACAAAGTGCCAGAGCTTGGAAATGTACATGTGTCAAAATTAAGTGAGCAGTATAATTAAATGTATGTGAACTATAATATATAATAAAGATTGGAAATGAATTTAGACCCAGATAAATAATTTGGTTCTCATCATATTTTTCCTGTCCAAAAAAGAAAAAAAACATTAAATTTACCATGAAGAAATAGAAAATATAAGCTACCATTACCAAGTCTATCAGGAAAATATCTCCTTGTCTTTTGGTTTAGGTCCGACTAAGCATGAGCTAGATTCCTGATAAGTTATTGCTTTGTCCTGGAAGTTTTGACTTTTGCCTGAACTGGATGGCTTAATGACTTACACCTGTGCACGTTGATATTTTGTTGCCATATCAGAATTCTGCTTCACTTTTTTCCTTTTCACCTTATTTTGTAAATCTGAATCTAAAGAAAGTAACTCCTGTCCCAACCTCCTTGAATGATCCCCCTCTTTGGTACTGTAATTTGTAAATCAAGGCTGAACCAAGTTCCTGAAGGGTATTATCCAAGTATTGCAGGTTCTCTTTCCTTTTTGGTACATCAGGAATGGCCCAGCCCTTGGGGATGCCTTGGGTCCTGACCATTCTGGAATTGAGAGTGGGGTGTCATGATGGTGCTATTCATTTTCTTGGTCAGCAGCTTCTACAGTGTGTGATGACCAAAATCCTTTTTCCCTTTTTGGTTACTCACCAGTATAATAAGGACTTCTGCTGCCTCTTCTCTAATGATCCGTCCACACACAATCCATAAAGTAATGGCTGCTTTTTCAGGAACTTTGGGATAACAAATAGACTGTGTCATTCAGGGGCTTGGGTATGTATGGTGCATTGGGCAGAGGTGCTGGCTGATTTTGTGCCTGTGGACTATCTTTATTTTGGTTGATGGTGACATTATTTGGAGGCTCAGAGTGATATGAGTTCAGATTGTACTGAATCATAAAAACAAAAATAAACATTACTTTCCATGCTGATGTGGGGTAATGTTGCAGGTCAGCCATGGGCCGTGTGTGGGAGCTATGAGCATTTGAGTATGTGAGAGGACTGGCCTGGTTGCATGCTCTTTGGGCCATGCAACACATGTGTACACTTTCCTCTCACTCTGCCTGTGTTCTCACATAGCACCTGAAATGGGTGTGACTTGCCAAGATATTAGTCAACCTACTGACTGCAAGACATCATGAAGCTAGATTCAACCCCCTGAAACCTGACCCTTTACCTCATTTGGAAAGGATATTCCATCGAACCTTCCTTTGTGTGTCCCCCCCTCTCCCATATAAGACTAAAGAATTCAGGTGGCTCTCTCTCTTTCCAACAAACCCCTAAGGACCGAGAGCCGTCCCGGATTTCGAAAAGGTATTTCTGTATGCTTGCATTCTTTCTTCGTTGTTTTAAGTTATTGATGTAGACAGATTTTGTGAACCCAGCATAGGTTGCCAGCTCAGTTAGATGGTGATAGGGTAAAATATGTGGTGGGCATGGACTGATGCTCAGTGCAGCCCCCTGATTATATTTAGTGATATTTCATTTCAAACTGCCTCATCTTCATTGAATTTTCTAGAAGTTGCTCTATAATACTGCTTTGGTACAATAACTCAACAAACATGGATACTTGCTCAAGGGATTTGATTTCCCTATGACTAGCTAGCTAGGCTTTGAAGTAAATAAATTTCTCTCTCTCTCTCTCTCTCTCTGTTTTTTTTTGTTTGTTTGTTTTGTTTTTTTTCTTTAGTTCAGACAAGATTGGTATTTTTACAAGGAACTTGGCTAGAGATCCTGAGTGTAGTTGTGGAGTAACTTGATTGGCAGAGAAAAATTCTTGGGCCTATTTTCTGTTTCATCCCCTCTGACTTATTTTTAGACTTGCATATTCAGACTATATCCTGTGGGCATTCTGAGGTGGCACCAGTGTTGCTTGCTTTGTGAGATTCTTATTTTCCTTACAGCATGCTTTGTAGCCATCAGTGCTGTGGTTCCAGTGTCTGGTCTCTCAATGAACAGGGCATTTCCTTATCTGCTCATAGCTAACCTCATCCCTTTCCTGGAAGCCTTGAATAAATCGCTTTCTAAATGTTCTCCCTAAATCCACTCTAGCCCATTTACAGTCCTTTCTCCACTCAGCGGTGTGAGTCATCTTTTGGAAATGAAAATCAGTTAGATGACCTTTTAACCTAAAGGCTTTTAATGACATCGCATTGCTTTTAGGGTTTCCAATACTTTTCTCCTACTTTCCATGGCCTTCCACAATTCTCACCAGCCTCTTCCGTTTTCCCCTTAGTCCTCCTTCAGTTCTTGGCTGACAGCCTGTGCATTCTTATCTCTCACCATGCATTGCCTTCTCTGGCTGAAGGTTCTGTCCCTTTCCATTCTTTTAGGCTATTCCTCACCCCTCAACTAGGCCTTTTTTTTTTAACCCTACTGTGTGAGCACATAACACTATGCACCTCTCCTCCTCAGCACTCAGGACTGTTTAATGTTTAAGTTTTTTGTGTTATTCTTTGATTAAGGCCTGTCTTCTACACAGGCCAGTAAGTTCCATGAGGCTGGGCTATGGCCTTTTCTTTCTTTTCTTTTTTAGCTTGAAAAGGGCTTACCATTAGCAGCAATATAATACATATTGTAGGTACTTACTTTTAAACACTTATCAAGGGCTGGGGTTGTGGCTCAGTGGCAGAGTGCTTACTGCCCAGCATGTGTGAGGCACTGGGTTTGATTCTCAGTACTGCATATAAATAAATAAAATAAAGGTCCTATAAATAAATAAATAAAATAAAGGTCCTTTGACAACTAAAAGATATTTTTTAAAAAGCACTTATCAAATAACCATGACTACTTCTTGCTTCAATCTTCTGGAGTTTTATGGCTCCAAATTATGTAAGTAAGTTACCTTATCCACAATTCCTTACTAGCTAGCTTACTTCTATCCAAAGGTTCTACCTTGATCTGAGGTTTTTTTTGGGTTCTGTAGGAAGGCATCTGAGCTTAGTCTTCTGATGATTGAATATGCATACTTTTTCTCATCCTGGGTATAAATCCAGGCCCTACAAGATCATCCTGTTCTCTGACTGAAAACTTCACAGTTCTGACCATCTCTCCAAGTTCTCTCTGGTGACCCATTCATGAGTCTCAATCTTGAGTATAACTCCAAGCATGTGATATACAGTGTTAGTGATAGCAATAAAGGAGACTGGCATTTTTCAATTTGTAGTAAGTAAGGATCCTCCATAAAAGTCTTCAGTGCCTCTTAAACAAGAGCTAAGTCCACTTGTCTCATTGCTGAAATTTGCCATTTGTTCTGCTATCATGAAGCAACTGCATTTGTAAGAATCTTACATCATCAAAATCTTGATATAAAAACAATTGTTTGAATGAGAAAAAGGGGTTAAAGTTTGGATACTATCCAACCCATAATTCGTATGTTTTTTTCCAATAAAAGTTTTTTTTAATAGCTAAGAATGTATTAATACCTGCTGTTTGACTACATATAGCATTTGCTGTGCAATAATGGTGTTTGATTTCTTCATTTCCTACACTATCATTAGCCAAAAAGCTTCCCACCATTCTATTTCCTCTGTCATGTATTGTTATAATAAATCAAACACAATCCTCCCAGATAAACCCACTGTTATAGGACCAGTTTCTCTTGGGCTAAGAGACTAGTTCCAGGACCAGTATAATAACGGTATTCCTAATCCAATTTGTTTAAAAAGCAAAACATAATACCCCCAAACCTGTAATTTTCTCAGATCTAGATAGTCTATATCGAACAATAACACTTGTGTGACTCCTCTCCCGCTGAATCAGGTGATGCAGGCCCAGTGTGTCAAAACAGAAACTGAATTCTATCGCCGCAGTCGCAGTGAGATAGTAAATGGAGAAGGCCACACCATGGGGGCACTATATTGGCAGTTGAATGACATCTGGCAGGCTCCTTCCTGGTCTTCTCTAGGTAAGTGTTTCAGTGTTCTTTGTGTGTGAGAGCGAAAGCAATACCTGCGGGGAGAGGGAATTAGAAAGCTCAGAGCCTGAGGGATCAGATTAACCCAAGCAGAAGTGAGGCCAAGGGAGGCCGTTCTCCACCAGGCTGTGGACTACAGCCACCCCACTCATCTAATGATCTGTCTCTCCAAGAGCCCTAGAGGTAGTTCATGAGTTGTGTTTTGTGAAAAGTCACAATAGCAGGCTGGTAAGGGATGGGAAGTCACAATAGCAAGCTAATAAGGAATATGCAAAGACCTCAGTCCTGTGTCTTACAATTATATTGCATAGAATTTTGAGTTTATTTCAGAGGACATTCCAGGGCCAAAGAGGCATGAACTTAAACATCCCTCCTGAACTTAAGTGTATGTAGGAGAATTCAACCACATGGAAAATTGGCCTCCTTGAGCATTAATGTGCCCATTTTTCTGACTGCGCTTTAAATTCATAAAATCATCTTCATTTTACCCTGTTTATTTTTTGGGGAGAGAAGGTAGTAAAATACTAACTGAACCAGTTCAGTTAGCCAAAGGTGAGAAGACTGGCATGGAACTTGAAGTTTGGATGATCCCATCTATTTTGGTACATTAAAAAATTAAGGAGAAATAATATATCTTTGGCCTTTACTAGAAATGATTTGAAGCAAAGTTTAGTTTGTAATATAAACAGTTGTTTGGGTCAAAATCGAGGCAAGGCCATGGAATAAAAAGGCCATTTGGCTGGGGGAGGCTCTTAAACTGGTTATGGATGCAAATCCAAAAGGGTTCATTCCAAACATACTTTTATTAGTGCTAAATGGATAACTCCTACAGGGAATTGGATTTTTGATCGTGTTTCTCTTACTGAACTCTTTTTATCAGCACTAACCACATAAAAGAGCATTGAGTGAGAATTGCATAGACTGTGAGGGAATGGCTGAGATGCTAGAAAGGTGGACAAAAAGATATTGTTCCGAGACACTTGGATGCTGACCCTGCTTGCTATCTATGGAAGGGGCTGTGAGCTTCTAAAGCTGCGTTGGTTCAAGAAACAGGAGAGTGCAGCCTTTGGAAATCTTGCTTTAAATGGCTGCATGTGGATTATTTGTATGAGTCTTCAGGAAGGGTAGGTAGCTCCAAGTACAAGGGCATAAGGGCAGAGTAAGAGTTTGGCTGTTTTCTAAATTCCAGCAGGACCCTTCCTGCATGGAGAGGGTCACCGGCTCCTTATACTTATTAGAGAAAACAGGGACAGTTTAAGTATCTGAAATGATTGGGACCAGAAATATTTCTGATTTTGTGTGTATGTTTTGTTCATTTGGAATTTTCCTCTTATGGTGTCATAATGGAGCTCAAAAAGTTTTAGGTTTTGGAAAATTTTGGAGTTTGAATTTTGAGTTTAGGGATGCTCCACCTGTACCAGAGAGAGGCTATGACTGTGTTTGCTATATCTGCTCCTGCTCTGGGCAGTCTCTTGGCTTCTGTTTAATTCTATTGAATTGGCTCAATAAATCCCCTGCTCATAGTGAGTGCAACTGGGGGTTTTGGGTCATCTCTTATTGCCTGAAATGGTGATACTTTAAAGGGCTCCATAGTGGCTTAGAATCTGTAGGTTTGAATATATTTCTTTAAAAATTAGTCTAATTTAGAGTTATAATTTTGCAAATAAAAAAATCCACATGGGCATTTTTGCTTCATTCATAAATTTGAAAAGTCATAGAGCTAATGGCAAAGCCAGATATCACATGACATTTTTAGGCTGTTAGCCAAACTTTAATACTGATTAGTAACATGGAGTGTATATCAGTGAGACCTTTTGCTTGAATTCCTGTTCTCCTGAGTGTATTCTGTTTGTGGCCTTGACCTCTGGAACTACCCATTTACAGTCTTTCCCCTGCCATGGATATCACACATCAGAGTGTATAGTTACCTTAGGAGCCATCTTCTACAAAGGAGAGGACTTTTCAAATGTGAGTTCTTGTTCATTTTATTTTATTTATTTTTGGTACTAAGGATTGAACCCAGAGGTACTTAACCACTGAGCCACATCCCCAGCCCTTTTGGTTTTTTGAGACATGGTCTCTCTAGGTTGCTTTGGGCCTAGAGAGAATATAGCTTTGAATTTGAGATCCTCCTGCCTCAGCTTCTTGAGCTGCTAGGATTACAGGCGTGCACCACCACACCTGGATCTTGTTCATTTTGTACATCTGATAGAAAAACTTCTCTACCTCGCATGTCTTCCCGCCACTTGTTGCTATGAGAAAGTACTAACATTCGGGGTTATAGAGAATGAAATTTTGCAAAACTCCAAAGAAACTGGTTCTGTTATTCTTCTGCCTCAACAGTTTGCACTATGTATCCCTATGTATCCGGGTGTTTCTTCCCTGGTGATTGTGCTACGTTCCAGGCTGTGTTTCATGGTCTTTACTCTTACTTTAGCAGCAACCCTGAAGTGTTTTCATCTGTGTTTTAAAAGTGAGAAAATCAGTTTAAAGAGGTTAAGCAACCAGCTCAAGGCTCTGAGCTAGGGAGCATTGGATCCTGGTTGAAATATTCCAATTTTGACTTTTTAAGTATAGTCTATTAATCACTCTATTCCCTTTGATTTATTGCTTCAAAGCAGCTTAATCATGAAATCTCTTTATAATTGCCAAGAAAAAATAGGATGATTAGGATTTGTTCTTACAAAAATTGTGCAACTGGAAAATTTTTGGTACCTGTCTAGCTGATTAAAAAAACCTCCCCATTCTTTTCTCCCTACACATACGAACTGACGATATTTTTATAGAAAGTCTCATTCTCTGTTTTTAGCAAAATTTAAATTTGTTTTATATTTTTAGATCATTGAGAAAGACTCCTTCACCCTTCTTCTTCCTCTTTTTCTCCCTGTCTCTGAAATTTGGTAATGTAATGTTTTGTGGGGAAGGGTCTTCATTCTGAAATGTCAAATGTTGAGAAAGGAAGATGTTAAAAGCTTAGGTTTTGGGATTTAATCTACAAGACCTGCCAAAGAGACAAAGAATTTTACAGATTCTTGACAGTTTCTGATTGCATTTGAGGAACTGCTATTAATTGCCATTGGTCTGGATGTTTTCATCCAGTCTGACCTTGACACCACATTCGCACAGTGCTTAGTTTGGTTTGCTCAGAGGTTTTTGTGCCTATGGAAAAAGGAGACTTTGAGTTCTAAGTAATTCTTATAAATGAATATTTGCAACAGGTGTTCACTGCCAAGGCGACCTTCTCCTTTATGTGTTTGTGGTAAAAAGGAAAATTGAGCTCCTGAAGCAGAGTCACCTGTACATGTTGTCTAGGAACCGGGCCTGGCTCAAAACACCACCTCTAGCATGTTTTGAGTTCACTCCCAAGCCTCTGTTTCCTCCTTCGGAAAGTGAGTTATTATTGCCTGCCTCACTCAGATATTGTGAGAGTGGTATCCAAAATGCCTGATCAGAGACTTTAACAAACTGGGGTGCCCTCCGTTGTCAACTCCCTCACATGCTCATTCCAGAAAATCCTGATGAGCCACACACAACTGGACCATGTGCACAAGGTCGCTGAATGCTTGACCCTGCCTTCCCCTAACTCTCTTGATTATTTTCAGAGTATGGAGGAAAGTGGAAAATGCTGCATTACTTTGCTCGAAATTTCTTTGCTCCACTGTTGCCAATAGGCTTTGAGGATCAAGGTATATTTTATGTCTATGGTGTGTCGGACCTTCACTCAGACTCTAAAGTGCAGCTCACTGTAAGTCACTTGGATTTTTTTTTTTCTAAGATAAAGGAGGACTTTCAGATGATTATTTCCTTAGTTGTTTGGATATATTGCTGTTGGGACCAAAAAAAAGAGAGAATTAATTGTATCAAAATATTTTTAGTGCCTGTAGCAGAAAATGGGTTGTACTTGGAGTCAGAAATATAGTCTATTATTCAGGCTAAACCTGCCATTTTTATTACATGACCTTGAGCAAAACCCTGAACATCTTGATGAGTCCTCTGTAAAATGATACCAGCCTACCTCTTTTAAGGATTTCCATGAACAGTGAATAAAGGAGATAGATGAAAGCAGGTTATATAAGTGTCAAGTGCCACATAAATGTAAGATTATTTATAATTATGAGGAGCAGGAAGTAGTCCAGATTTTGCAAAAATAGTTTAAAAATGGTATGTTAAAAATTGAAATCAGTAAAACTATCCAGAATGAGTGCGAAGGGGAAACAATAACAACAACAACAACAACAACCACCACCTTGTTTTTAAAACAGGGGTAGAAGCTCCATGTCTCTGGTGGCTACAGCTTGGAAGGACACTGGAAGTAGGTCATATTCATAGAATCCTTGCAGTGTGCCAGGTAGTGCCCTTTCAGGGATTATTTTTTAAATTCTCACCCCAACCTGTGAAGTTAGAGCTGTTATTATTTCCATTTTATCTATGAAGAAATGGAGACTGGCAAGTTGAGTGACATGGTCACATAACTCAATGCGTCTGCGATTGACATTCAGGTCTCATAGTGTCTCAACCAGTTCTGCTCTTCTGACTCTCAGCTATTAGTACCATGATTATTCTTTTTTTTTTTAAATTTTAATATTTTATTTCTTAGTTTTCGGTAGACACAGCATCTTTGTTTGTATGTGGTGCTGAGGTTCGAACCCGGGCAGCGCGCATGCCAGATGGGCGCGCTACCGCTTGAGCCACATCCCCAGCCCCTACCATGATTATTCTTGAAAAACATAATAACCAAGAATGTTTTTATTGTTTTATTTCTCCCCAGGTGAGAATCCATGCATGGAATTCCCTGACACCTTTGTACTTCACTGTGACTAAACCTTTTGTCCTCAAAGCCGGGAAGGCTGTGTCCATCTATGAGCAACCAGTGAATACATTGCTGAAGACATGTGGGAATTGTACCCGACAAAACTGTGTGGTTTCCTTTTACCTCTCAACTGACCGTAAACGCGTTAGCCCCACCAACTATCACTTCCTGTCTTCTCTGAAGAATGCCCAGGGGCTCCTCAAGCCCCAGATCACAGTAAGCATGGTGGCTTTGTGGAGCGCCCTGTTCTTGTGCCAGCGCATTGCATCCTGCAACTTGCCAGTTTCCTTCTTGGTAGTGAGTTGACCTGAGCCCTGGGCAAGATGGACTCCGTCCCACTGGAAGCAAAGACCAAATGAGTTTCTTTATTTCTAATTCAGGATTTGTCAAGAGTTTTCAGTTTCTGCTGCTTGTCCTGGCTCCTCATCCTTCCCTAGTGAGGCTGGTACAGTGGTGGGAGAGAAGGCTTCGTCCATCCTCACTGATTAACTTTCACTAGGTTCCAGGCTCTGTTCTAGGTACTTTGTTGCATGATAAATCTCTTAACTTTCACAGCAACCCTGAGGTGTGAACTTTTGTGTTTTATGAGTAAGAAAACTTGTTCAGAGAACTTAGACAACAAGCTCAAGGTCCTAAGCCTACGAAAGCTTGGAGCCCAGTTGACGCACTCCAAATTTTGACTTTTTAAGTCCAATCTATTAATCACTCCTCTTTCTTTTATTTATTGCTTCAAAGCAGTTTAATCACCAAATCACTTTGTAATTTCCAGGGGGAAAAAATAGAATGATTAGGTTGTGTTGTTACAAAATTTGTGCAGCTAGAGAATTTGGACTCTGTCTAATTGATTGAAAACCTTTCCATCTTTTCTTCCTACATATAGTAGCAGACAGAATCTTTCTAGAAAGCTGATTCTTTATTTTTAACAACCTTTAAGTTTGTTTTATGCTTTTCCTTTATTGAGAAAGATTTTTTAAATTGACTTTAGAAATAGTGATATAAAAACACCTAGTCCTATGTTTTATTGAAAGAGCCCTGACAATTGAGAACATAGGTTCTTTTTGGATTGATAGTGAAATTTTCCATAATGAAATCTAAGTTATCTGTAACAACTGAGATAGAACAGACAGACACGAAAGAAATGACATAGCCAGGCATGGTGGTACATGCCTGTAATCCCAAAGAGTTGGGAGGCTGAGGCAGGAGGATTGAAAGGTGGAGGCCAGATTTAGCAATGTAGTGAAACCCTGTCTCAAAACAGGGGGAGAGTGAGGGATGGGGATGTAGCTCAATGGTAAAATATTCCTGGGTTCAATCCCCAGTACAAAAAGAAAAAAAATGACATAGCTTACATATCATTTCATCTAGCAAAGAAAAAAAAATACTGAACAAATTTGTCGTTTCTAAACTTATGACTCTGAAAACAAAAACTTTTCTCTTTTAGCTAAGGCCTTTATTTCCTAGAGTTAATTGAGGTACAAGAGAGATAGGGCTTCTTTATTTGTCTTTCCTGACTTGCATTTCAGTGAGACTTGTCCCTCCTAAAGAGATAACAACAATAGTAATAATATTAATTAACATTTATTCAGGCTTACTATAGGTCCTTGTTCTCCTGGTCTTTCTGAAGCCCGGGTACAAGCTTGAGCTTCTGGTTCTGCAGTCAGAGGCCCAGAGATGAGATTTCCTATTAGAAGAAGTCAGCAAGAGTGAGCGAGGTGCTGTGTTGGGTCTCTTGTGGCCTTGGCTTTGCGCAGCAGTAGCTAAGGCTTCCCTGGCCCCCTCTGGGCTGGCTAGGGTTTGTTGAGTTGAGTGCATGGCTGCTTTAGGGTCTTCACCAGGTAGAACTTGGCATCTAACCTCGAGCCTGAGTCTCAGAGCCTCCTAGAGTTCCCTCATGCACTTTATTCAGGTCTTTTACTGCTTCTATCAATGTCGGTTTTCTTGTTTATAACTTGAACGATAATTACTTGAATGATTATGTACAGTAAAAATTGTCTTTTGAAATTCTTTATGCCCCACACATATAATAAAGACTTTATAGTGTAATGTGCATGCATGTTGAGGAGCCGTGTTCTGTGACAAATGCACAGCTTTAAAGACCAGGTCACATTTGATTCTTTGCTCTTCTGAGAAAGGCTCACAAGCCTGTGGCCTCTGGGGAGTGGCTCATCCTCTCTCTGGGGCTTGTGCTCAGTCAGCTAATTAAATGGAATGGGTCTAGAGGATTCTCTCTCTCACTCTGTCTGCTGAAATTGTATAGAATTTGCACATGCTAATAATGTGACTTTACTAAAAAGACAGAGAATGGTAGAGCTTTTGCAGTTGCTTGGCCGATTAGCTTCTAGAACGCGGGCCCTTTTCAGAAGGCTCTAATGTACACTCCATGGCTGCACTCTCTAGCTAGATCCACATCTATTAAAATTACATGTGGTCATTAAAAATAGCCAGCCCTATGCCAAAATGTTCCCTCCTTGATGCTCCTCTGAGAAAAATTATAAAATATATAAAACTTTGGGCCTGTTTTGAAATAGTCTCCTTCACCAGAGGAGTCTGCATGTTTCCTCGGTGTGAGATTACAACTTGATCATGTTCCACAGACCTAAGTCATTTTCCAAGTGATGTTCAAGCATCTGAAACCATGCATGGAATATATGACTTTAACAGTGGCAAAACGAAAGCACTGCCAACGTGCTCCTTACCAGGCCCTTGTTAAAGTCCTGGTAGACATTGCCGTGGGCTATGTAGTTCTTCATTCAACCTTCACTTCATTTTTTTTTCTTTTTTCCAGGCCAGCATCTCTCAGCAAGGTGACACTTTTGTGTTTGCTCTGGAAACCTCAGCTATTGCTCCCTTTGTTTGGTTGGATGTAGGAAGCATCCCAGGGAGATTTAGTGACAATGGTTTCTTTATGACCAAGAAGACACGAACTGTATTATTTTACCCTTGGAAACCTACCACCAAGTATAAATTGGAGCAGTCTTTTCATGTGACCTCCCTGGCAGATATTTACTGAAGGAATCCGGCTGTATTTTCAGTGTACACTGGGAACAAAGCCTTTCTTGAGCAGCGGCTGGAGAGGAAGACCCCCTGAGAGAAGCCGAGGAAACAAGAGGTGCATCTGCTTATTCACATGTGTCTGACACTCTCTCAATTGGTACAGTGCATACTGTCAGGGAAGGCTGTTCCTCCAGTGATGGCCTCAGACAAGGCTGTCCTAGGTGTTCTTTTTTGCTGTTGTTGTTTTGCTGTTCTGTGGGTTGAACCCAGGGTGCCCTACCACTGAACTATAACATCAGCCCTTTTTATTTTTTCATACAAATAATAAATGTTCTTAATAAAAATTGAACTCGCAATTTTCCTGCCTTAGCCTCAATGGGGATTATAGACAGGTGCCACCGCACCTGGTTTAGGTATTCTTGAATCTGTGCAAGAACTGTTTAGCCCTTCAACATACAGCTTTAGTACTAAATGAACCAGTGTCAAGCAGATTACCTTTCAGGGAGTCATAAGAACATGACCCTGGTAATGTCTACTGAGCCAAGTGTGGGAGGTTTTGAGGTAATTGTAGGCCTTTCATAGGTAGCCTTGAGAAATACTGAATTATTAAGATGAAGTGTTTTGTTATTATTTTCAGAGGAAATGGAGGGTCAAATGTCACAATAGAGATTTCTTGGTGGCACCCATATTGATTATTGTTGCTGAACAGTTTAGAAGGTTGATTGTTGGTATTTGATTCCTATTGTGGGGTGGGATTCTTTTTTTCATTTTGGGATTTGTTATAAAACATTTTTAACAACAAATTATTTTTGAAAAGAATCCTTTTTTGAAAAATAAGCTCACATTGACATGGACATTGCTATGTTCATGCTGGAAATTTTGAGATATTCTGACATGGGGCTTGTGTGTGGGCTTCAGATTTGGCTAAATTCAGTGAACTTTCTGATTCAACAATACTGAATATAGACTTCCTGGCTCTGGCACCAAGTGGTATTTCCTTTAGCTTAAGTTTAAATCAGTTTATTTATATTGATTAATTATAAGTTGCTATAAAGGTACTTTATGACACATTATCATATCAATATGGGTATGTTGATAATAAAAGTAATGGGGCGAAATGTTAATAAGTGACTAAATTGGGTATAGATGGGTATGTGAAATTTTTTTGTACTACTTTTACACTTTTGCTGTAAGTTTGAATGATAAAAATAAAAGTTAGATAAATTGCACTGACAATTTGATAGTTCATCTGTGGCCTATTTAATCATTCTAAAAATATTCCATTGAGCCCATTATTGAGATGTACACTAATTTCTGCTTGATAAATGGGAGAATTTGAAGAATCTAAAAACTAAGATGTTTGAGAGATTTTTCTATGGAAAGAATCATGTAATTGGTTATGGAATGGACCAATAGTGAAGGCTTAGATTTAAAATTGAGACTCAATGTTTTTTTATTTTTAAATTTTAATTAATTAATTTTATTTTTATTTTTTTTTTTTTTTGGATACCAGGAATTGAACCCAGGGGCACTTACCCACCGAACCATATCCTCTGTCCTTTTATTTAGAAACAGGCTCTTGCTGAGTTGCTTAGGACCTCACTAAATTACTGAGGCTGGCTTTGAACTTGTGATTCTCCTGCCTCAGCCTCCCAAGCCACTGGAATTATAGGTGTGCACCACCACACCTGGCTGGTTTTGGTTTTAAAACAGAAGCATTAGGTTCAGTAACTTGAAAAAGAATATAAGTACAGATATTCCAGTCCTGTCCTTCAGTATTTAAGAGTTTTCTCATCTCTGTGCTTACACACACACACACACACACACACACACACACACACACACAGGCTTATCAAGGACTGGACCTGAGAAAGGAGGACACTGTTCACTGTTCTTCATTAACCACGAAGATTCTATGACAGGGTCCCTGTGAAGTGGGCTTGGAAGTTGATGAACCAGAGTTTACATCGCAAATCTGCCCTTAATACTTCTTCAACCATAAACAAGTTACTTAACCTCTATGTTCAATTTTCTTGTCCTAAAATGGGAATAATAACACATATCTTATAATTTCGTTTTAGAGAATAAATAAAGTAACTTAGATGAAGGGCCTGGCCCCTGCAGGCCCTCAGTATGGTCCTACGCCTGGTGTCCTGGAGAGGGCAGAGTTTGCAGCCACATTTCTCTGGATTTAAATCCATATTCTGAGACTTATTAGCTGTGTGATTTGGGGCAACAATTTGACCTTCTGGACTTTAGTTTTTTCCTCTCTAAAATGTAGATAATAATCCCTGACTGTCAAAGGTAGTACTGAGAACAAATAGGGTCTAGAACAAAATAAGTTGCACTTTTATTGTGATTGTATGTTTTGAAATAATCATTATAATCCAACTAGTGCATGAAGCAATGAAAATAAAGCAAATATAGACACATTCCTTCAGAAAAAGATATCATAAAAGAATAATTTGTAAAAGCAGAATAAATAGGCATAAACACATGCTGACAACTACTTACAAAAAGGAGAGAAGTGTGCCTATGGCATTTTTGAGAGAATAGTAATAGTCAAACTGTTCTTCCACAGTTCACATGTTACACGGTGGATAGTTACTGTTAGCATTTTAATAGATTTTTGTTGCCACATTTGCTGGAGTTGAATTTGATATACTTACCCCTCAGCCTTAGGTTTCTGAGAAATTTTTTGTTAGTAACTGTATAAACAAGAGACCAGGTTCAGGTCCTAGCTGTGTTCTTTCAAAGGACATTCCAGAGAGCGGAATAAAGAGAGGTCAGTTCACAGGATTATATCTTCCCATTCCAGGACAGGGAAAACAATAAAAATGGTAATTTCCTCATTCACATTCACTATAACTGTTATTCTCTCTTTTTCTCTTATTTGACTTTTCACTGTGAGACATTTTCAAACCTTGGGAAGTCACTTGGAAAATACATGGAAAGATTTTTTTCTCTATTGGAGTGAAGGTGAACTGGAGTGCAAGAGAAATAAAGATATGTTTCCCCGACTTTCCTCAAGTGACAAAGACCTGAGACAGAAAGAATATTCTCTTGGGCTGCCTCCAGCTCTCAGATATGAAACCTATTCCCCAGCTTGGTAAGATTTAGGGAAAAACAAGTAAGCATTGTTTCTGTGGGAAATTCAAAGCATTTGATAATATTCCAGAGTTCCCCTTGACTGAATGCAATCTTATCAATTCAATTAGCACAGGAAATTAAAAGGATTATGCTGGAAAAGGCATTTAGTAATATTTCCAAGTGAATGGAAGAATTCTTATTTTTCTCATTGATTTATCAGAGGTAGGAACCAGAAGATATACAAAATTCTAAAAGTCACAGACAAAACTGGTGTTAAGATGCATTTATATTCGGACCCTAAAAACTGTTTACTTAAGATTTATTCATTCATTTTCAAGCATTTATTATGGATCACTGTTGACAAGCACTGTCCTTGTCACTAGGTGATGAGAGGAGAAGACAAGTCCCTGCTTTGGTAAACCATTCTTGTAGGGGAGACAGACAATAAGCCAGACAATGAATAAGGCAACTGCAGTTGGTGCCAAGTCCTATAAGGTTAAGGTGATATGGAGGGACAACCATGTTAGATAAGGCCATCTTGTTCAACACTTGAGGACAGCTGGGCACGGTAGCACATACCTGTAATTCTAGCGGCTCGGGAGGCTGTGACAGGAGGATTGCAAGTTCAAGGCCAGCCTCAGAAACGTAGCGAGGTCCTAAGCAACTTAGCAAGACCCTTTCTCAAAAAAAATAAAAATAAAAAAGGGCTGGGAATGTGACTTGGTGGTAAAGCACATCTGGTTTCAATCTGTAGTATCAACAAAGCAAAAAGAAAAGGTGTTTTGGAAAGTTTATGATAAAAAAAAGTTTAATTGAGAAATAAGTCTTTAAAGACCTTCATTACAGAACTTTTTCTTAGAAGAAAAGTTTGCAATGATAATATAGTTGAACTCCTTTGGTTGGTCTCAGTCTTTAAACGAGGTTTGTTGAGTTTCCCCTTGTGACATGTCATGCCATGCAGTGAGTAGTAAAAATGACTATGATGCTTAGAATTACCTAGAGCTCCCTGGACATGGTACATTCCCAATCATGGACATTCCTATTACAGAGCTAGCACGGATTCATGCCTCATAATACATGTGGGAGCACCCTCTTCTTATTCTGTTATTGTTGTTCATTATGGATTTTATAAACTTCATTGGGTCCTAGGAGACCATCCACACATTCCCAGTAGTTGGAGCAGCTTCTGCTGGCTGACTACCAGTCAGGTGCTTCTCTGCTCCAACCTCAGGAATTGGATCATAATTTGTTCCACTTAATCCTATTCTTCTTTGCCCGGGATTGGTGTAGAGTTAAGTATGTGACACAATTCTGGCAAATGAAACACCAGTTGATGTTCTGGGGGATGAGTTTTCCTGCCCGATGAGAGACCTGAAGTGAAACCTGCTGTTGGGTGAAGTTGAGAAGCTACAGTTTGAGGACCTGATACTTGGAGCCTTGTTGTGACCTTGAACGTTATTGACACGCAGGGATGGCAGAGATATTAAGCTGCTAAACTAACCCTGCAACCATCTTAATTTTGCTCTTATTTTTTGAACAATTTTTTTATCAGCACGTGATAATTATACATAAAAGTGTCACTGTGACATATTTGTAATGCACATAATGTAATTTGGTCAGTGTCATTCTCCAGTATTTCCTTTTTCTCTCATCTGCACCCCCCACCCCGTCCTCTTTTTCTACTATTTTCATGAGATTTCCCCCTTGCTTTATTCCCCCTTTGCCCTCTCTAGCTTCCACATATGAGAGAAAACATACAACTCTTGACATTCTGAGTTTGGCTTATCACTTAACATAAAGCTCTCATGTTCCAATCCATTTTTTTTTGCAAATAACATAATTTCATTCTTCATTTTGGCTGAGTTAAACTCCATTGTGTGTATATATCACGTATTCTTTACCCATTCATCCATTGACCGACATCTAGGCTAGTTCCATAACTTGGCTATTGTGGATTGTGCTGCTATAAACATGGGTATGCATGTATCACTATAGTATAATGACTTCAATTCTTCAGGATAAAAATTAAGGGGTGGTATCACTGGGTCATATGGTGGTCCCACATCTAGTCTTTTGAGGAAACTTCATACTGATTTCCATAGTGGTTGTTAACTTTGCTCTTCATATAATGCAATTTAAAAAAATATGGCCTTACTTTTTAAATCCAGTTAGTATCAGGTGTTCTGATTTTACAACAAAGAGCATCATAATTGATAGAGCAGTTAAAGATTATGAGCTTTGAAATCAGTGTGTTTGAATAACATTAACTCTAGCAGGCTCTTTAACATTGGATACAAGTTCTGAGTCTTTCTGTGCCTTAGTTTTTAATATTTAACCATGGGGATCGTACCAATGCCCACCTCATAGGTTGTAAGGACTAAATGAGATGATGCATAGATATTGATAGAGCACACAATAGCTATGCAACAAATATGAGCTGTTATAGTTATCATTTGCCCCTGTGGTAAGCCATCAAAGCAAGCCTATGGAGGGGGACAGGTAGGAACCTGTGAAAGTATTGGATGGAGGGGAGAAAAGGAAGGTCAGGTCACATATAGGTCATATTTGACCAGCAGATGACAGCCAGACCATGGTTTTTAAAATTGAGTTATTTGCTAACATTTAAAGGGGGAAGATTTCATATATAATGTAGATCTTTCTATCTCTGACCTTGTAATGATATTTTTAAACAGCCCTTACTTTAAAAATTCACTGATAGCCAGGTGTTCTCATTTTCCAGTCAAGAGCATCCTCACAGATAAAGGTGAGGGCTTTGAGGTCAGATGTATAGCTGGGTCTTGGAGAGGGCAAGGTGGGGCCATTGGTTTCCCCTCAGCCAAGAAATATCTTGATCCCCTGCACCTGGATGTGGCAGTGGCTGTGATCTTTCTAGTGAGGAAGGCTCTTGGGGGCAGGGTTTTCCATGATGGGTGAGGGAAGGACCACTACTCTTTTGTAATGAGATGATCCCCAGCCCAAATTGGGTGATTGTTATACGTTTCTAGCCACATTATTGGTATTTGAACAGAAAGATTTTTAACTAGACAACTTACAAACACAACAACTGAGATTTCTCCTTGTAAAAGATCCATTTGTGTGTGTGTGTGTGTGTACATTTGTGTGTGTGTGTGTGCATGTGTACATGTGAAGAGTGTCTATAGTGCGCTGTGGCCATGGGCTCATGCTCTGATATTGAACCTGTTATTTTGGCTGTAACATGTACTGACTGACCTTGAACCAGTCACTTAATTTCTTTTTTTTTAATAGTTATTTTTTGTTGTAGTTGGACACAATACCTTTATTTTATTTTTTATGTGGTGCTGAGGATTGAACCCAGGGTCTCGCACATGCTAGGTGAGCGCTCTACCGATGAGCCACAACCCCAGCCCCAGTCACTTAATTTCTAAGCCTGAGTTTTCTTATCTTCAAGATGAGATTAATTCAATGACTATTTCATAGCATTATTGTGAGGATTCAATAAGATAAAGTTTTCCCAGTCCCCAGGACAGGATAAGCAAGTAGTAAATGCAGGCTTACAATTACTCCTCCAAGGATAAGAACCCTACATCTGATCATTTCAGCTAGGGATCTCATATTCCCCTTGTCCAAAGTGAAAATCATTTAAGGATTCTTTACCAAAGGTTTTGTGACCTGAGTTGAAGGAGAAAATTCAGGCAGAAAGAGGGTTCTAATTCCTCCTCCTCCTCCTCCTTTTTTTTTAGTCAGGCTATTTCCAATTTTATCAAAGGGAAAAAAAAAAAGTAGAAGAGATGTGACAGCTGTTGGGTGATTGTGCAAACTTCTGCTTCTTCCAGCAGAGGCCTCTTGTGTACAGGAAATGAGGCTAGTGGTGGGTGGAGGGGCAGTGCCCTGGGATGGATGGGTGCTGGCTTTGGAGGTTTCCCCAAGGACTGGGCTCTGCTGCCCTCAGGTGGGGAGGGGAGTGTAAGGGAGACCTCATGGGGCAGCAGGGACTTGGGGGGGAGGTCCCCTACCACCTCCCAGGGTTCAAGGAGCTGGGGGTCAGTGCTTGCCTTGGAATGCATGGATACAGAGGAGCTACTATAGTGAAGGAAAGAAAGAGAAAGAAAGGGAAGAAGGAAGAGATGAAGAAAAGAAGGGGGAGGGAGAGAGAGAAAGAGAAAGCTTGAGAGTGGGAGAAAGGACAAAGAGAAAGAGAAAGGGAGAAAGAAAAAGTGATAGAGAAAGGAAGAGAGAAAAATGAGCGATAGAGAAAGGAAAGGGAGAGAGAAATAAAGAGAGAGGAAGAGAGAGAGAGAGAGAGAGAGAGAGAGAGAGAGAGAGAGAGAGAGAGAGAGAGAGAGAAAAGGAGGGCAGGGAGGAAGGAGGAAGGGAAAGAAGGAACCCAGAGAGCAGCTGTGCTCACTGAGCTCCCCAGCTCTCCCTCTTCCTCTCTCTAAAGTTTAGTGATGCAGTGCTCTGTGGGGAAGGGTCTTCATTCTGAAATGAGATATGTTAGGAAAGAAGTGTTAAAAGATTAAAATTTGGGATTAACATACTGGGCCTGTCAACGAGACACAGAATTTTACAGATTCTTGACAACTTCTGATTGCATTTGAGGAACGGTTTATTAATTGCCATTGGTCTGGATGTTTTCCTCCACTGTGACCTTGACAGCCATATTTGCATAGTGCTTAGTTTGGTTTGCTCAGAGGGTTTTGTACCTATGGAGAAAGGAGACTTCTTCCCAGGCTCCAGAGCTAACAAGCTGGGAGCCAGCAGGGCATGTTAGAAAGGTTCAGATGTACAGAGCAACTTTTGCTGCTCTCTGCCTCTTGGTTCATTTCATTTCTGTCATAACCACCTTAGCAAAAAGGTAGCATCTGAGTGATTTTTAATTTAAATTTAATTACTATGGATCTCTGAAAACTTGGCACAAAGCCTCCAGAACAGATGATTGATGGGGGGTCAGGGGGAGTCAGATGAGCTGGAAAATGGCACAGTAGCAAAGCTATGGGAACAGACTAAAAACAAGTATTGTGGCATGATGTGAGGATCTTCTGCTGAGGAAGAGGCAGCGCGGAGGAGTCTTCTCTGGCCTGGCTTGGCCTCTTCTGTCTAAAGAAATGGGCTTGCGTCCTGTGGGTTACTTGCTTCCCACAGATTCCCTCCTTGTTGAAGCTTTAACCTAGAGTGCCTTTGACTTTCATAACCAAAACTGTCCCTGGCCCACATGCTGTGTGCATATGCTGTTCATCATTCACGATGTGCAGTTGGCTGGGGTGAGGAAGGATGGGCCAAATGGTAGCTTTGACCTTCCTAGGTCAATACTGGAATGGAGAAGAATGCAAAGGGCTGCTTTTGCATCCGGCTGAGTAGTTCCTTCTTCCGTGAGCCTATGAGTACTTCCTGAGCACCACTATGCCCACCTTTTGGGGGAGGCAAAGTGACACTTGCTTCCATGGTCCCAGGAGTGAGGGGAGAGACACAGGAGCTGTGGGATCTCCCAGAAGAGCACAGGAGGGTTTCTGGGCTTTGTGACAGGACTTGCCTATGGGGCTGTGGTGGGTCTTCACAGCAGTGTAATTTCTGGTGTCTTTGGCCACTTTGGTCAGGCTGTGCTTGTGCTGGGAAGCAGAATTCTATGTGAACATGGGTGGCCCATGGGTGGCTCTTTGTTGGAGTAATGAGCTGGGCACAGGAAAACAGAACAAGGCAGGATATTGAGAAAAAAAAACTTTTGAAGGCCTCACAACAAAAGAAACGGGGCTGCAAAGAGAATGGGTGGTAGAAGAAAGGCCATCATGGACTCTTGGGGACACTCTTGTGGCCTGAGGGTGCCTGCCCAGGGCTGTGAGTGCTGGAGATGTGTGTTTGGTGAACTGCCAGCTTCCTGCTGCTTGACCAACCAAGGGTAATGCCCTTCAGTGCCCCCAGCTGGTGAGATTTCCTTTCCTCTCCCATGCACATCTCAATGACCTGTATGTAGCTTCAGGGCTCCCTTGTGATTGGTTATAGAGTGAGGCTGAACAGCACAGTGTGGGGGTTCAAGACTGAGTCCTGGTCTGGCCTCTGGACCACAGACCTCTGGACTTATCTGCATCTTGGTCCTTCTATGGAAAATGGCCGGAAGCAAGACCCTTTCCTGTTTACCTCTTGTTAAAAGAGTAAATATTTGAAACGATTTTGTAAATGAAAGCATTCATATTTGTTTTAATCAGCTTTTTTGCTGCTGTGACTAAGAGACCCAACCAGAACAATTGTAAAGGAGGAAAAGTTTATTTGAGAGCTCACGGTTCAGAGGTGTTAGTCCATACAAGGCTGGCTCCATTCCTCAGGGCTCAAGGTAAGGTAGAATATCATGGAGGAAGACTGTGGCAGAGGGAAGCAGCTCACATGCTGATCAGAAAGCAGAGAGAGACTCCAGTTGCTAAATATAAATATATACTCCAAAGCCACATCCCCAATTCCCACCTCCTCCAGCCACACCCTACCACTTCAGTTACCACTCAGTTAATTCTGTCAGGGGATCCATTCACTGATTGGGGTAAGACTCTTACAACCCAATCATTTCTCCTCTGAACCTTCTTATATTGTCTCACATGTGAGCTTTTGGGGGACGCCTTACATCCAAACCATAACAATATTTAAAGTTGGTTTTTTTTTTTTTGCAAGACGATTTTTCAAAATTATAGAAAAAAATTGTTTTCCAAGGACAAGAGAACATTTGATAAACATGTGTGCTGCAGAAGAAAAATAATCCACAGTGTGGAGTTTTTCATTCAAATTTTTGAAGCAAAAAATACCTTAAGTTGTGCACTATTGCCTTAGGAAAGGGAAGGGGAACTGCACAACAGTTTTGAAATAAGAAAGTATTTATCTCTTTTTGCCAGAGAAGAGACCTAATAATCTGGTTATCTAGCTTCTGGCCTCACCTCTGACCTCCCTTGATGTGGGTACTTCCATCATATTCTTCAAGCTTTTATCTCAGCACTCTGCTTCCTGGATCCTAAGAAGCAATCCTGGTGAAGGGAATTCTAGAATCCTGTTTTGTCTGCTATGCTTCTGGCCTGAAGAACATATCATTTCTCTAAAATTTGGAGTCAAGGTCCTAGCAGTTCTCTGCAGACCCCAAGAAAGATGAACTTGCCCTTTCCTTTGGGTGGGATCCTGCGATTGTTGATATGGATGGTCAACTTGATTGAATTAGGAGACTTTGTGTGTGTGTGTGTGTGTTGATGAGGGTGTACTGACATGTGAGACAGGAAACTGAGAGGGTAGACCCATCCTAAATATGGGTGGTGTGGCTGAATGGGCTGGGGCCAGGATGGAAGGAGGGTCAAGAGAGGAGGAAGCCAACATGGATGCAGGCGCCATTTTTCTCTCTCTCTCAGGTGGGTGTTTGGGTTGCTGCTATGACTCCAGGGAGTTCCCAGGCCTGCAGTCCCAGACTGGGGCTGCATCAGTGGTCACTTTTCTTCTCAGGCTCTGGCTTTTTGGACTGAGAAGCTACTGGTTTCCCCAGCTCTCCAATCTGCAGGTGGCCACTGTGGAACTATCTAGTTTCTGATTCTGTAAGCCAATCTAATAAGTCCCCTTTTATAACTGTAACTATAACTAAACTATATGTGTATGTATATATGTATGTATATACATATATAGTATATGCAATATGTATGTGTGTGTGTGTGTGTGTGTGTGTATCTCTTGTTGGTCCTGTTCCTCTAGAGATCCCTAATACAGATCCCAAAGGGCATGGTGTCTTAAAAACATCAATCTTGGCATATATGAGCCAAGACCTTTTGCACAGCATTGAAGGAACAGAGGAACATGGAGATTGGAGAGAACTCTCCCTGCAAGGGCAGCAGGTCTCGTCTCCCATCCTACCTTCCTTCATAGCCTTTGATTGTCTCTGAGGATTTCCTTCAGACAAACTGACTGTACTTAAAATGCATCTTCCATTCTGCAGTGGGCATTGTGCTGGGGATCCTACTCAGGGTCTTGTGCATGCTAGGCAAGCACTCTACCAGTGAGCCACATCCCCATCCCCACATCCTTCATTCTCAATTTTGGGAAATGATTTTGCCTTTGATGATGTCTATTTACTTTGATGGTACTTTCAGAGTGAATATTTGCATGAGTAGGAATTAAAAACAGTCTGAGGTTTCAGGCTGTCATCTGCTCACCAAAATCAACAGTGTTTTTAATACTGGGAACAGAACATCACTCTCTGAGCCTCCCTGGTCTTAGTGTGGCCATGGGACTAAAATTTTTCTCTAGCACAATATGAGAGGAAATGGAACATTCAATCCTGCAACACATACTCTAGGTTTGACTCCCCTTCCAGATGACAGGGACCATCACCCCAGCAAGACCTTGGGAGCCAAGTAGTAGAGAAAGAATGACCGTTACCCTGGATTCCTTCATGGCTAAGTAGAAGAGACACACCCTACTCACTCCTGAGCCTGCTGCAAGAGTGGTTTATTAAACACTACTGGAGTCAGGAGATCCTGCAGGGAATGCTTTAATCCATGCCTCAGTTTGCTCACCTGTAAAATGGACAAAATACCCTGAAGGATTCTTGAACAGGAAGAGTAATATGTGATGACCACCCATTATAGTGCCTGGCACACAACAGAGGCCTACAAAATCTTGATTAAATACATACCTTTGTTCTTCAAGGCTGTTGTAATATTTAAATGAAATAACCTTTTTTTGTGAAGAGATGTTGACATGGAAGAGCGAGTTGATGGAAGTCAGAAGATGCTTCTGTGGCCTCTTCTACCATCTCATTCTAAGATGCTTGAATAGTCTATGTAACTATTCACTTGTCTGGGATAATGGAAGAAGGCTATTGTAGACATAATGGAATCCATAATAATGTAATGACTTTCGTTTAATTTATAGCTCCTCCTCAGTGTCTCCCCAAACCCAAAGCCAAATGACATAGTCAAATGAAACCAGTGGAAAAGAACTCAGTCTCCTGGATTGGCATTTACCTGACACAGCTGGCCCCTGTGAGGACAATGGGAAGTACCTGCTCTCACATTGCAGGGTGTCTTGAGGATTGAACCCAGGCCTTGTGCATGCTAAGCATGAGCTGAATCACTGAGCTACATCCTCAGCCCTTATATACATGATTGTTATGGTTTAGATATTAGGTGTCTCCTGAAAGCTCAAGTGTAAGGCAATGCAAGATAGTTCAGAGGAGAAATGATTAGGTTATGAGAGTCTTAACCCAATCAATGAATCAATCCCCTGATGGGATTAACTGAGTGGTGACTGAAGGCCAGCAGGTAGTGGCTGGAGGAGATGGGTCCCTGGAGGTGTGGCTTTGGGATATATATTTTGTATCTGGCAAGTGGAGTCTCTCTCTCTGATGTCTGATCACCACATTAGCTGCTTTCCTCCACCACACCTTTCTACAATGTTGTTCAGCCTCACCTTGAACCCTAAGGAATGGAGCCAGCTGCCTATGGACTGAGACCTCTGAAAACAGTGAGCCCTCCAATAAACTTTTCCTTCTCTAAAATTGTTCTTGTCAGGTCTTTTTAGTCACAGCAGCTGAAAAGCTGACTTAGACAGTGATCTTTAAGATCTTATCCAACTGTAAATCCCATGATCTTTAAGAAAATGACTGGAATTTTAGTTTCACTCTTTTTGACTCCTTTGCCTTCCCAGGACTGTTACCTGAGGAATTGCACATCAGAAAGAAATCCTCCCCTGCCTCCAAAGGCACAAAACAAGAAGAAGAAAGAGATGCAATAACCTCCAGTCCTTGAATAATTCATTCATGAGCAATTTAGCCTGTTAGTAGAGGGAAAATCAAGTCATTTTAACCAAACAATCTATCCTTTTAGTGGAGTTCTGAATTCATTTTGCATTTGGGTTGGGTACAGGATGACTCCGTGAACAGGTGTCAGCATTTTTTTCTTTCCCTTTTAAATATGGCCCCATTTCTTGAAAGGCCTTCAGATATCATCAAAGAATATTCTTTGGACTCAGACGGACCTGGATTTGAACCTGGGGTGGGTTACTTAAAACTTCAGATCACCTGTCTTCTTACTATCAAGTGGGGTTAAATATATACCTCATAGAGATGTCTGGAGGATTTCGTTAGAAATAATTAATTCAAAGGGACTGGAAGGTACGGGTACCCAGCCCTCCCTGGCTCCTTCCACTCCCCTTTCTACTGCTAAAACCATTCAAGGTCCAGGTTTCGGGGCTGCGTTCTGTGGCTGGTGACCGGGGATGCCCGTGCCACATAGAACCACCACAGGGGACCCTGGTGGGTCAATGAGCAGCAGCAGGACTTCCTTCTGCTGAAAAATTATGACCACTGATCCTGAAAAAAGCCTGGTTATGCCTGCAGAGTATAGAAACCTCAAAAGATGACCAAAGTTCTGAGGAAGCTATATTTAACCAGCCTCCTGCTGTTCAACAAGCTTTCTGGGCAGGTTTATTTCAGGCCCTTTGTAGCCTTCCCACTGACCTTCTGCATCCCTTTTGGCATTTATCTCCATCTGCTGGTACAGTGTGAAAGACACTCCTTCCACGAGGACTCAGGCATCTCTGGTAGCCTTCATGTTTCAGCCCGGTGCACAGGTTCAGGCCTGAGCCAAGATCTTGGAGGAAGAAGAGTCAGTTTCTGGATGACAAGAGAAATAGGGCTTTTTATTCAGTAGGGAAGCATAAATTTTCTATCTCAGCATGAGTTGTTTCCTCCTTCTTCCTCTTCAAGTCAGTTTCTCTTTAAAGTGAACTTCTGGCATGGGAACTGTGAAGTTAGAGCTCTGGAGAACAGTACTAATCCACTCCACACCTAGATTGTGCAACCTTCAGCATTATTTAATTGGCTCACAAATCTGCAATTCGGGCAGGGCTCAGTGACACTTATAGGCAGCACCACCTGAGGCAGCTTGAAGGCCACACAAGGACACTTGGTTGGGGAGTGGGATTGCTAAAAGACTGGCTCCCTTGTCTATCCCACAGGGCATGTGGCAGTGGCTGGGACCTCATTTAAGGCTGAGAACTGCACTTACCTTTTCTATGTGGCCACCTGGCTCCCTGGGTGCTGAGAGCCATAGCCAAGTAGGAATGATGCATGGCATTTTGGTTTGAAAGGTGACCCTGCTCAGGGATTAGGGTGGCTCCGGGTTTAGGGTGGATCCTGCTGGGAATAGGGCGGCTCCAGGATTAGGGTGGATCCTGATCCTGCTGCCTCAAGTGCCCGCTCCTTTGGAGTTCCTGTTGAGTTCTCACGGGGTTCTGAGAAAATTGGTGCGCGGAGCCGGGCAGAGGCAGTGTGTTCCCAGAACACAGAGTGCCGGTGAGAGTTCGAGGAATAAAGAGTTGCTGTTTGAATCTACATGGCTGTGTGGTGGCCCGGTTATTTTGTGCCCAGCCAGACTGCGGCATTTGGCGGCCCGTACGGGGAACGCCTGAAGCTCAGAGGTAAGTGAAATTGCTCGCCCCTGAAGGAGAGCAAAAAAAAAAAAAAAAAAAAAAGGGTGACCATTTCAAAAAACAATGTGTTCTTGTTTTGACTTATTTTGTTTTTATTTCAAGTTGCCTGCTCCTAGAACTTTTTCAGGCAAACCGGGGAAAATGGTTGACTCAAGGTTTGAAGTTGTTCGCCCCCAGGAAGAGAAATTGTTAGAGGAAGGAGGCACCCCAGTAAGACCAAGAACAATTAGGGCATATGTTGATACAATACAAAAATGTAGCTCATGGCTTTTTAAAGAGAAGTTGTTGAATATATCACAATGGGACCATCATGGTATCCTGTAGAAGGATTTTTCTTCAACAAGAAAGAGATGGCTAGTTCTGTTTACTACAAAGCTAAAGTGTTAAAATATCAACCACTAAATATAAAATCAAGTACTCTTTACTTATTAAGTTACATAAGGTAATATATTTAAACATTATGTGTGTTTTCATAAACTGTAAATGGAAAAAAAGTTTAATATTGCTTTGTGTCTATGTCTTTGCTGAAACAAGGTTACTAAGAGTTAAGATTCTATCAGGTGTAATTTATATACAAAGAGTATAAGAAGTTTCAGTTGGGTTTCAATTATTGTATTATAGTACCATAAAAAAATGAAAATATTTAGAGTAATTTATCTAAATTCAGAAATTTTATAAGGGTTGTTTCACAATGTAAATTTTTAAAAAGGGATAACGGCTACAAAAGAGATATAAAGAGTTGCTGTTTGAATCTACAAGGCTTTTGTGGTGGCTGGGTTATTTTGTGCCTGCTGCAGTCTGTCTGGGCACAAAATAACCGGGCCACCACACAGCCTTGTAGATTCAAACAGCAACTCTTTTTTCCTCGAACTCTCACCGGCACTCTGTGTTCTGGGAACACACTGCCTCTGCCCGGCTCCGCGCACCAATTTTCTCAGAACCCCGTGAGAACTCAACAGGAACTCCAAAGGAGCGGGCACTTGAGGCAGCAGGATCAGGATCCACCCTAATCCTGGAGCCGCCCTATTCCCAGCAGGATCCACCCTAAACCCGGAGCCACCCTAATCCCTGAGCAGGGTCACCTTTCAAACCAAAATGCCATGTGTCATTCCTACTTGGCTATGGCTCTCAGCACCTGGGAGCATTGTAACTGGGTTCCAAGAGGGAGAGCCTGAGAGGGATGGGCAGAAGTTATATGACATTTTATGACCTAACTCTGCAAGTCACTTAGCATCTCTTCTACCCTCACCACAGGCTGCCTAGATTCACAGGGAAAGGGGGTGGGCTGATCCCATGGTGGGAGAAGTCTCCTCGTAAAACAGGAGACTTTGCTGTGGCCAGCTGGACCATAGCTTCCTACCACAGAGAGGAACTGGCAGAGGAATGGAGGCTTGGGCTGCTTGTGTGAAAATTAAGGGAAGACAGAATTGTTATTTTTTCACTTTATATAGATAACAGTTCTCAAAGACTGGAAAAATGTGGTGGGTAGGGGTAGACAACTGGCAATGTAATAGGAAACAGAATTTTCTTAGAAAACAAAGAAGAAGGAGATTAATTTGGAACATGCTGTAAAATGAAGAACCCAAATTGTTTTCACACAAGAATTGTCTTATTTAGAAAAGCCTTCCTTACATCAAGATTATTCATCCAGAGTTGGGATATAGCTCAGTGGTAGAGAGAGCACTTGCCTGAAACACGCAGGGCCTTGGGTTCAATCCTCTGTGCCCCTCTCCCCCCAACACACACACACACACACGCACCCACCCACACACATGCACTCACACACAAATAAGATTTTTCATCCATATCTTAGTATTCTTATGGTTTAATTTTTGACACATCTGGAAATTAACTTTTTTTTTAAGATTTTTTTTTTTTAGTTGTAGATTTTATGTGGTGCTAAGGATCGAACCCAGTGCCTCACGCATGCTAGGTGAACGCTTTACCACTGAGCCACAACCCCAGCCCCAGGAAATTATTTTGATGAAAGGAGAGGGGTAGGTGTTCAGATTAATTTTTAAAAAGTGATTAACTAGTTGGAACATCTGTTTATTGAATAATCATCTTGTCTTTATTTGAAATTTTACTTTTGCTGGGTGCAGTGGTGCATACCTATAATCCCAGCAGCTCAGGAGGCTGAGGCAGGAGGATCCTGAGTTCAAAGCCAGCCTCAGCAACTTAGCTAGTCCCTAAGCAACTTAGCAGGACTCTGTCTCTAAATAAAGTACAAAAAAGGACTGGGAATGTAGCTCAATGGTTAAGTTCCCCTGGGTTCAATCCTTGGCACCAAAAATAAATAAATAAAATTTACATTCTTATACTAAATTCCTGTATATTTTGGAGTCCACTTCTGTAATCAATTATCTATTTTCATCTACCTTATCCTAGTAAGATAACACCCCAACCCATTAGCCAGAGTTGGGTGTAAGCTTAGAAGCACCTTTACTCTGGCTACTTGACCTCTTAAAGCCTCAAATTCTCTCTGTAAGTTTGGGTAAATATGCATACCTTATTGGGTTATTTTCAAAACTAGGTGACTTAACCTATGCACAATTGGTCAGCATGGTTTCCAGCACTTCTGCAGGCTGGGTTCTCCAGGAAATTAACTCTCACATGGAGATTCACGTGCAGGATGTTTATTTGCAATGCTCTCAAGATCAACAGATGTAGAAGGGCGGGGAAGGAAGCAGGACTGGGTGGAGGGAGATGAGAGTCACAGCCTCAGCTCACCTACTGGGTAAGTCTGAGCTCATAGCCCCGCAGCATTGCCTGGCGTTGAATAGGCTTTTGTACACCCACACCAGTGAGTCCTTGCTTGGGAGCCACCATGGAAATGGAAGAGGTGGCTCTGTGTGGCTAAGGACATTCCCTGAGGAGCTGATAGCTAGTGGGCTTCCAGCATCTGGGAGACAAGTGCTTTGTTAAGAAGGGATCTTGGTTGTGCATCACAGTATCCAGTATATTGTTCAAAAATGTTTTGAGTTTTTCTCTTCCTTTTTCCCAACTCTGAGTGAAGGGCCATTTGGGAAAGCTTCATACTGAAGGGTTTCTTGTGCAAGGGTCTCTTTTATGTTGAAATTTCGTTATTGTCAGCATCATGGAGACAGAGAAAAGACATTAAAGATGTACAGTGTGTGTGAGATGCAGGAAGACGAACATGGCTGACAGAGAGGAGCTGGACCAGGATTTGGCAAACCTGAACTTTTCATCTTAGATTAAAACACTTTTCTTGTGATAATTTTTTGTTGTTGTTCTAGATCAGACAGTTGACTCTAAAGGGGTATGCTAATATGATAACCAGAATATGGAATGACCCTCCCCCACCACCACCACCATGATTATCAGGAACAGGAGCCAGATTTAAAGATAGGTAGTTAGTGTAGTTAGGTAAATCAGGTCTAATACTGAGTAAGATAAAGAAAATGGAGACCATAACAAGAATGGAGTCCAGGTGACCAGAACAATACCTGGGGAAATTGAAATGTTAATGTCCCCAAGGCCCTCCTAAAGAACTGTTAATGAAGTGGCTGCCAGCAAACAGCAGGTGTTAAAGCACCCCAGGCCCTTCCTGCCCAGATTGCTCCTCCAGTCCACCTATCTCCCACCTTTTGGCCTTCCCACCTGCATTCTATCTCTGCAGGATAGAGGGAAACAAAGGACAGGAATGTGGGAGGACTAAAAGAAGACCTTTGTTATAAAACAGGGAAGACCTCCCCTTCCAAGGATTCCACCTTTCTGGTCCCTTTCTTCCTCTGGGAGGAAGTCTTTTCTTCTTTCCTTTAATAAAGCCTTCCACTTTCCACTCTCCACTTGCCTCTGCATGCTTCTCTGGTGTTATACTTCAGCATTTGGGAAGCAAGGACTTGTCACTGGTAAACGGTGGTAACAGAATCATCTTAGGAAAGTATTAGTATAGATCAAACAAAGTGAGGTCAACAATTTGCTTTTCCTTTTATTATAAAAGTAAAATAAAAAATAGCATTTATAAATCCAACATTTTTCCTTTAAAGTATTTGATCTAAAAAAAACATATTTACAATAGCAAAATGCAGAAAAAGGGGAAAATATCATTTTCGGCACTGATTATAACCATATTTAAATATTGATAAGTTCTTATTTTTTTCAAATCACTGAGATAACCACATTAGAAAAAGCAATGAGCCTTTTTTTTTTTAATTGCACACTAAGTGACTCTGATTTTAAAACACCTCTTTTCTTAATCCTTAATCTGAATGCACAACTGTGCCCTGGACGGCTAGAAAGAAGACCAGGTGGGGACACCCTTTAATGACAGTGGGAATGCAGCAGAGGGACAGCAGCAATGACGACAAAAAAGCAACTGTAATCCAGCAGCAGCCAGTAAAGCTCAATAAACTACCTCATCCCCAGGTCACATCAGTTCAGTGCAGTGAGGGGATTGCTAGATACTATCTGCAAGTGAATCAACTAAAACTCATTGAAAAACCAGGAAAGGAAACCACGTTTAGACGGCCTTGAATTAAATCCAGCATGATTCAGGCAGGCCGCTGTTCCTCTGAGCACCTCTGGATGCACTTTACCTTCCTTCTTTTGGACAATGCAGTGGAATTTTAGGACTTTGGTTTATACAGCATGGGAAACTGCCCGCAGGCTAAATTTTGCCTTCTATAGGTCCTTCCTGCCCATAATCGTGGGGCATTTTGTTGAGAGTTAGCAATGAGCTGCTGCTGGTCAGAGACTCTGTAAAGCTGAGTTTGCGGAAGGATGTCTCCACACCACTGTCACAGATGCTGTCA